CAGAGAGGGCTAAGCTTGGAAAGAGTATAAAATGCCCTCTGTGCACTCGACATGATCGTTGTGTTAGAGAGCAGTGTAAATATATATATAGCTATCAGTGCATTACTTCAATACGATGTGTAAATGCCAGCGTTAAAACCCAGATGGCTGCACTGTGCTGCCCTTTTCCCACAGTTACAACTTTAGTTATGTGTGCACATCCATCTGCTTGGTATTTGTTAGATACAAGGAACTACACTGTGCCCTCTTGAATGTAAGTAAGTGTAAATGTATACATGTTAAATCATGTTGCTAACAAAGAGAAGTGTGGATACTAAACAAAAGGCGCTGTTGCCAAGGAAGTTCTCTCCCCGTCCATCTGGAGGCCAATGTGCTTTATATACATGGGGTTCAGAAAACTTGCAGAAACACTTAGAGAGCATGAACACATCACAGGGGTGGAGGATGAAGTAAGAATAGATATTTCTATCTACTGCTGCTCTCTCCTGAGCCGTTACACACCGACAGCCTACTCACTCAGGAGCCACAAAAATAAAAGGAAGCTTTGAAGAGAAACTTTTACTGCTGCTGTGATCATTTTACGCCGCTCTGGAAAACAGGGTAACAATTCCTCAAAATGCACTCGACACAGAGAGGCTGCAACAATGAATCTACCAAAACATCCGCCCATTAGCATATAACCAGGGGAACGTGCCAGTATTTGTAAGAATACATGTGAAATAAAACAATACTTGTGCAACCTGAGAAGTTGTTGGTTTGGTCATGTTGTGAAGTGAATTTGCTTGCCACAAATTCCTATTTTCCAACCATTTATAAATCAGATGAAAGCAGGCAGTGTTGGATAGAAGTAAGTGAGCAGGTATGGTCTTATGAAACTGACTTGATTAAATACAACATATACTTTTTGAGATTATTTGTTCACCTTAGTGCTCATTTAAAGGGACCATATTCTGTCCTAAAAACTGCCTGAAACCAGAGCCCAGTCTGCTCCGATTGGTTAGCTGGCCGGCTCTGTTGTGATTGGTCAACCAGAGATGTCCCGCTCCTTAGCCTATCACGTAAAATGTGTTGGAGTGTTAGCCAATTGAAGTGTGAGTATTACAAAGTGATGTCTCCATGTTCCAGAAATAAACTAAAAGCACAATTGCGCCACTTTATAGAAGTCTATTAACACTTTAATAAACTATTAAGTTATCTATAATGCATCTACTTTGCAACATGATCATGTGCTTAGTCTCATCCACACTGATTATGACCGGAATCGGTAGTGATGCTCTTTCCCAAAGAATGTGACCACAACAGAATTGTTTGTTCTCAACATTTTCAGTTTTGCATTACAGAAGGTTTTATCTTAGCTTGCAGAAAAAATAAAGCTAGGTCGGGTTAAAATATATCTCCAGTCACACACTGAGACAAAAGGAAGGGTTTGGAAGTACTTTAAAGATCAGGAGATGTCTCCGGTAAAAAAGAAGACAAGTGGAAATTCAGTTTTCAATCTGTTAACAGGAACTATACATTACATTACATCACATGTCACTTGTTAGACGCTTTTATCCAAAGCGACTTACATACATTCAGTAATGTGGACAATCCCCACAGGAGCAATTTAGGGTGAAGTGTCTTGCCCAGGGACACAATGACATGCTGACTGCAGTGGGACTCGAACTTGCTATCCCCTGATTCAAAGTTCAGCGCACTAAGTTCAGCGCACCAGACCACTGAGCCACAGCCTCCCACCACTGAGCCACAGCCTCCCCACTATACACCTTTGGCCCCAAAACACACAAGTACACTTCGTCAGGGCCCATTAGGTGAAATTGTCTGAACTAGGACTCGAACCAGTGACCATCATGTTTAAAAGCCATTTCTGTTCTGCCGCCCCCACGGATCCCAGGACTGAGGTGTGTGTTTAGGAGACTTTATCTATGATCTCACTGAGCCATAGAGCAGCGAGCCACGGACACTAAGCTGCTCTCAGGCCAGCCGTCATTTAAACAGATTGACCAGCAGCTGACCTGCAGCAGACAAAACAACTCAGAGCTGTGAGGAAAGTGAGATGGTTGTGACTCACACCCTCCATCCCCCAATATAAATCTGTATCATCCCTGTATATTGACCAGAATCTCTTTAATGTGCACTATAGCATTATTTATCACATCCTTCGCAAGAGTGTAAAGCCCCCTCATTCTAAACTGGGTTTACTGTTGCACACATTTGGTTTTGAATCTCTTTTTGTAACTTTTCAGTTTTATATGTCTGTTCTTTACATTAAATGTACTTGTTTTACCTTTTAATATGTGTATCTATGCACATATGAAAAGAAATAACGCAAATTCCTTGTAGTTAAAAATGTACTTGTTGATAGACCTTCTGATTTCTATTTGGTGAGGTTTGCGGTCTCATCTTTGCACTTTGAAAACAAAGATGACACATACATGCACTGTAAGCTTGAGTTACAGTTAGTGCATGTCTTTGATGTGCCTCCAAGATATTTACAAGATACAGTATATTGCATACTACCTCTCCTATCTTAATCTCATTGGGAGCATGTGTAGTAAATCCTAGATAAGGTAACAGTAAAACATGAGACTCAGCACAGCTTCAACATAACGGCAGCAGATTGTTGATACTGTGTAGTTACTATCTCACCGGAATGTAAATCTGCTCCAGTAATTGCAGCCAATTGCACTTGGATGAGCGTATCAGCTAAATACATACTTTTTCACTTCCTCTTGGCAAACTAAATATCACAGCCAAACTCATTTTCAGCCATGTTAACTTCCTTAGGAAATCTAATCTAAGAGAGATATTTGTGTGTGTGGAAGAGGCCTCGGGGCTACACAGCCTCAATATTTAGTTTGGCTTCCTGACTACATTTCCCCCCTCTTATCCTCAACAGCACTACGGCGGAGTTTGGCCTCAGACAGGAGCATAAAAACATCCGCCCATTTAAACAAACTGTTAACACAGAGATGGGCTATCTCCCAGGGACAGACTCAGCAGAGAGCTTCATATTGGCAGCTCTGCATACACAAACAGAGCAGCTCTTCTGCAGCCATGAAGGAACACAGAGTGATAGCTGAGTAAATGCACCTGAAGGCAGCGTACCAATAATGTGCTTATCAAACCACTCTGGGTAACACCAGGGCTCATCAGTGTCTCCACATCACATTTGTTAGCCTTCATTTAGCGCCAAAGGCTATCTGACTGATTCCATTGAATTACTAATCTATGATACAGTGTATTTGTATTCTTTTATAAGTATATATATATATTTTTTTAGTAGTAGATAACTATATTTAGATTGTTTTTCTATAAATATACGTTTTCAATAATATTTGTGTGCAATGTCTTAGAAGAAAAAAAAACACACATTTTGGGATCTGGGAAGTTTATCCAATCCAAAATAAACCTATAGTACAGTTATTGTATGCTTCTTCTACCGTCAAAAGCAACTTGTTTGTGGTCATAACTCTCTATTTATTATCTGGTCTGATTTACCGAACTGTAACTTTTGTACAAATACTTTTCTAAACATAGTGTCAACAAGTGATGCATTACAACAGTTCATAACCGGTTGTCAAAAGTGTCAGTCGGAGGCATCATGGGGAAAACAGCTTTCACTTTAGAGACATAGTAAGGAGAGCTCCTCAATTTGAATACAAATAAAAGCAAAAAATAACACAGGAACATGTTTACATCACTGCTAATGCAGAGCCAACAATGCAAACGGCACTAAAAAGTCACTTCATAGCAGCAAGAGAAAGAAAATGAGCGCCAAATGTCACCACCGACCATGATATGACAAGCATGATTACTAACAGCGAAAGGGCCTGCTGACAAAACCCCAATCAAATGCTTTTATTAGAGTAACCTGGACTTACCTAAATGAAAATATAAGTAGTTTCAACAGCTCGTATTTCAAAAAAGTACAAAAATACAATAACTATTCCATTTAGAAAATGACTGTTCTGACAGCTGTGATGGGCTAACACTCCAGCCTTAAAGTGAGTATTTGTAGAACATGATTTTCTCCAGCGCTGAACACTGAGAAGTGTTTTGACGGTGCACAGCTAGATGGGACTGAAGTGTTTCATGTGAAGTGAATTCATCTCCTGACAACCTTAGCACTGAGGTTCAAAGTCCCTGCTGACACGAGAGAGAGTAAAGTCACATCTGACGAGAGGCTCTGAACACACGCTTCACATCTTTTGGAAGATTCCCCATTGATCTTGTTCTGCTTTAAAGTGAACGTGCCAATCTGTAAGAAGGAGTGAGTGCTTCTAGTGAAAGAAGAGTCATGGAGATAACACTGGAATCAGATACTGAAGCAACTGATTGGCTCTTTTGACTTCATGGCAGAAGCAAGCAAAACAGTCAGTCACAAAATACCCACAAATCAAAACAGTGGTGCAGTGAGGCGTTTTTTGAAAAGTTAGCATTACACGGTCTCCGCCAACAAAAATCCATTGGGTTTCAGGATATTGCAGAAAATACGATTTTTTTGGAAACACACATTTATGATACTGTTCTGTTCAGCAGGATGATCTCCACATATTAACACCACTTTATGATTTTTGAAAAGTAAATGCAATTGTAAAAGCTAACGTTAAGCTATAAATAAACCACAGCATGGTCACATGACCTCACGTCACCACCGCTAAGCTAAAGGCAGCTAAGTATGATGACATTCAATAGTCCCATTTAGACACTTGTTAGCAGTTTTTAGGACACATAAGATTTAGAAATTCCCCAGTGGAGTAGCTACTGACAAATGTAATGTTGTAAAAAAAAGCTTGTGTTTCCTGCACCACTGTATTGTTCTGCGTTAAAGTGATTGTGGACATCAGATTGATGGACAGTATAGTTTTGGGGAAAAGACTCCGATGTTTTTAAGGTATGAAATCATCCAAGAAGTTGAGCACAAATCCAGCCATTGATCATACAGTTACCTTTTTCTAAGTTAGGTAGAATATAACGAGCCATGGAGGCGGACTCACCATCTTGTTCTTCTTGGAGTACGTCCTCTTCAGCAGCCGCTCCGTCATCCTCTCCGCCTCCCGCTGGGCGTGATGGAGGAAGCCTTTCTCCAGAGGATCTTCGACCGGCTGCACATTCTCCTCTTCCTCCTCCACCACCTCCTCCTTGTCATCCTTCTTCTGCCGCTTCGCCACCTTTTTCTCCTTCCACCGCTCCTTCTTCTCCTGTGTCTTCACAACTCCGACTTTCTTCTGCAGGGAGGAGATGAAAGCACATTAGAAATCTAGACATTTAAACAAATATATGACGGAAAAAAACAAAGCTTTCATACATTAAACTTGACATACATCTTGTTGAAGGCTGCAGAATGAATACATTGTTAATTTAAATCGCATTAGGGACAAGTACAATATTCAATACTCGAAGGAAGCTCAACATTTGGGAAATCAATCTTCTTTTCCGAATAATGCAGCCTGAATCTTGTTATTTAAAGTCGATAATGACATGGTTTGAATTCACAAATGCAGTGTTAAAGAATGCCATATAACCTGTTGCATACAGCTCTTACTTTTTGAATTATAAAAAAGCCAAATCTGACTTTCTGTGGTAATCCTGCCCTCACAGATAGTAACACAGACAGTAATCAACGCCACACTGTCAACAGAGATTTACTGGCTTTAGTGTCTCAAGGTTTTCCTTAAAAACAAATCGTGCACAAGGTGGTGACAAGTGTATGAAAAACAACACTTTACACCGCCTTCGAACATCATTAGAGCAGACAGAGATCTGGATGGATGGACAGAGAGGAGGAGATGAATGTGTAAAAAAGTGTGAGTGTGCCTCAGCTGGTAAACAGTGAAGCGTGCAGACCCTTTCACTGCAGGCTTATACAGAGCAAGCAAACGTGGAGCAGACGCTCACTTTCTCTCTCTTAAGTCATGTTTAATCCTGTCAACAGCAGAACAATGCCTTACTGGAGCCCATAATCACTTTATGGCTCAGATATAATGAGCTTATGATATGAAGTGCTGCTTTAACAGACACTAGAAAAAATACAGTCGCTGTACACTTACAGTATGACCAAGCAATTTCAACCTTTTAACTAATCGTTCCTTTCATGCTTCGGTTACGTGCTGTATGGAATTGGTGTTTGTTTATTGGAATGTAAAGATAATTTGTAGCTGCCTGGTATATTACTTAATGTTCCTTTTCTTTGCCAAACTTTGGAGGTTAACTACAGCAAGCTTAATGTCAATCAGTGTATGACTTTTAATAAACTGTGAGTCTAGGAATTATAGCTAAAAAAGATTATGTTGCAACCTTTAGCTTGGTTGTGCCTGTGTGGACAATATTAAGGACATGGCCCACATGATCTGTTGAAGAGACACAAATGCACTCGTAGGCCAACCTGGAAGTTAGCATTGCAAGGGCTCACTCAACAAAAAGCTATGGGTTTTTCCTTTGGAATTAAGATTATTGCAGAAAATTAGATATTTGGCAAACACACATTTATGATAATTACACCTTGTTCAGCGTTATGCTCTAAAGGAACTACAGCACGGTCACATGACTTCACGTCACCACCGCTAAGCTAAAGGCGGCTAATGTTGGGCTATAAAGGAACTACAGCACGGTCACATGACTTCACGTCACCACCGCTAAGCTAAATGCTGCTAATGTTGGGCTATAAAGGAACTACAGCACAGTCACATGACTTCACGTCACCACCGCTAAGCTAAAGGCGGCTAATGTTGGGCTATAAAGGAACTACAGCACGGTCACATGACTTCACGTCACCACCGCTAAGCTAAAGGCTGCTAATGTTGGGCCATAAAGAAACTACAGCACGGTCACATGACTTAAAGTCACCACCGCTAAGCTAAAGGTGGCTAATGTTGGGCTATAAAGGAACTACAGCACGGTCACATGACTTCACATCACCACCGCTAAGCTAAAGGCGGCTAATGTTGGGCTATAAAGGAACTACAGCACGGTCACATGACTTCACGTCACCACCGCTAAGCTAAAGGTGGCTAATGTTGGGCTATAAAGGAATTACAGCACGGTCACATGACTTCACGTCACCACCGCTAAGCTAAAGGCTGCTAATGTTGGGCTATAAAGGAACTACAGCACGGTCACATGACTTCAAGTCACCACCGCTAAGCTAAAGGTGGCTAATGTTGGGCTATAAAGGAACTACAGCACGGTCACATGACTTCACGTCACCACCGCTAAGCTAAAGGCGGCTAATGTTGGGCTATAAAGGAACTACAACACGGTCACATGACTTCACGTCACCACCGCTAAGCTAAAGGAGGCTAATGTTGGGCTATAAAGGAACTACAGCACGGTCACATGACTTCACGTCACCACCGCTAAGCTAAAGGCGGCTAATGTTGGGCTATGAACAGGGGTGCACATAACTTTTTTGCCCTGGTTCTCAAAGGAGCACCTGGAGATGTTGCTTGGTGCGCATCCTTACAATGAACTATTTTTCTGTGACTATCTTCCTCACCCTCTCAGACTTTCAGTTGTGCGCACTACTAAAGAGACGCACTACCATGGAAACCAAACAATGGTGTAGCTATATTAAAGTCAGAGTGGAAACAGTCGTGAGTAAATCTGATATTGTCAGAAATCGGGAGAAATGCGGGAGAAATATGACCCCGGGAGGAAACCGGGAGAGGGCAATGAAATCGGGAGTCTCCCGCGAAAATCGGGAGGGTTGGCAAGTATATCTGGAAGTGCTTTATCAAAAGGTTGCCAGGCTGGTTTTAATATAATCACACAGCAGCTCAAAGCAGCTCTTCTCACCTCATAAGGAATAACATATATTTCCCTTGAGGGAGCAGATGGTATTAGCAGGACACTTGTCATTAAATTCATCACCTGGAGAGCCATGTTTAAGAACGCTTATGAGCACTAACGCCATTGATCTAACAAAAACATGTTTGAATAACTGTTGGCTTTGAGACGAGGGAACAGGAAGTGCTATAATGCTAACCAAGGTTTGCTCTATCTTTTAAAGGATTCCTATCTACAACACTTTATTAACATATACATCTGCCAGCCTGCCTGTCACAGCCTGCTTGTGTGTCTAGTGATTGAATTGAACTGTATATTTCTCCTAAGCTTCTGCTGCCTTTTGTTTTCCAGATCTCCTCAGGGCTGAGTGGAGCATGTTCCTCGCTGCTGCTCTGTAAAGCCTGTCGGTGGAGATCACTGCGTCTCTGAATGGCAGAGGACGACACCGCGCTGTTTAAAGCTGCATGGAGTTCAAGGCCGAGGGCTGTGGTTCACGTTCTAACATCTGTTCACAGCCAGAACCACTACCGCCAGCTCAGCGCTCTGTATGAATAATCTAATTATCGGCTCAGAGGGTTGGAGGTTAGCAGATGGCTAGCACATTAGCCCCATAACCACTAATGAATGACACCTTCAGCGACAAAAGGTGTTCATGAGTCAGGTACTTAGAACAAAAACTGGCCACAGAAAGGAAGGTTTCCACGAGAAAAAGCAATATAAGGCAAGGGAAAATATAATGGTTAATAGTCAAAATGTTAAGAACAAAGCTATTTAAAAACAGCTCTGTTTCAGCAGATATTGCTCAGTTGTAGCCGTTTTGTGCTACATGGAGCATATTTGGAGCTGAATTGTTCCCAGGCATCAAAGAAAAGCTGTTTGGGAACCCAAGAGCTAACATTTACGACATATATATAAAAGAAAGAGAAAATACCTTACTTAAAGACTAGGTACGACTCCCTCTGACTTGATTTTTCGCGAGTACACTCAACTTAAAGGATATTTAGGGCCATGGTATGAAGCTCAATTTAATAGTTAAAGGTGGGGTATGTAATTTATTTCAGAAACACTTTTTGTTATATTCCATGGAATGCTCTTAACATCCCGATAGCAATGAATATATGAAATGCTTTGACAATAAATACATAAAAAAATGTCATCTGTGGAAGCCGTGGCGCTGTAAAAAGCACGACCAATCATCTGACCCGGCTAAAATAACTGGATGGCCTACCTGCCTGTCAGCCTTCCATCTGTGCACAAACTTAACTCGTGCCCTCATTGGTCATGTGTGCGTTTGTGTGTGTTGGAGGAGGGGCTCTGTAAGGAAGTGGCAGATTCTTTCTGGCTGTGTATTTTCAAATTCTAGCGCGATTCTCGAGCTGGTTTCTCCAAAATTACCTACCCCACCTTTAAGTTCACAGAAACTAAAAAGGACATTTGAAAGAGTAGTCATGTTCTGTAAGTGCTGTATCAAAAGGTGGCCAGGCGGGTTTTTATATAATCACACAGCAGTACTTCTCACCTCATAAGGAATAACATATATTTCCCATGAGAGAGCAGACGGTATTAGCAGGACACTTGTCATCAAATTCATCACCTGGAGAGCCATGTTTTAGAGCGTGTATGACCACTAACGCCTGACAGGAAAGGCTGCAGGTGTTTTTCTCCTTTCAGAGTATCTGAAGCTGCAGTGTGTCGCTCCATCAAGATAAATCACGTCAGCGTCTCCTCCATTATTAATAGAAACATGCCTTTGTGGACAAACCGGCAGTGAGTGATCAATTAAGCATCAACTTGCAGAAATGTAGTTTAATTAGCATTCTGATGGAAGTCCCTGCGGTTATCATCTGCTTCGTTCATCCAGGTAGGAAACAGTGATACACTACACTGATTATCTGGCAGCTTGACACGCGTATCTTTAATTGCGTTTTAATATCTTAACAGAGGTTTGGCATCGTCTTTGTTCGGAAGATAATGTGCACGCTCAGGGCGTTCCTTACGGCACTCACAGCAGATTAGCACTCTCTAAAGAAAGATAATATTTGTTTTAATCAACAATTGGACTTTTTTTGTATGGTCTGAAAATGTACAAAACTCTTAATTAATGTGTGTTGCTTATGAGAATTCAAATATTTAACACTTCAAGCTAATGTAGTTCAGTTATAATAGACTATTGGTAGATTTTTATACCAACAAAGAATACTTTCTGTCCCTTTTCAGTCCTCATGACTAAATGATTTCTTAAGGCTCTTTATGTTCAAATAATGGCTTTGTTAATGTTTATTTTATTCGCTTTGCTTTTGAATGACTGTTTTTAAATGCCATTCTGTACCATTTCTTAATGCTCTTAATGATTGTCATTTGTGTAAAGCACTTTGAATTGCCTTGTGTTGAAAGGTGCTACAGTATATAAATAAACTTGGCATGTGGCGCAGGTTCAAACCCC